ATGCACTTGTAGTCCCAGCTACTTGGGAGGCTGAAGCAGGGGAATTGCTTGAACCTGGGAGGCAGAGTTTGTAGTAAGCAGAGATCCCACCACTGCACTCCAGCCTGGGCAATGCAGCAAGACTCCATCTCAAAAAAAAAAAATGAATGCAAAGATACTAGGGTCTACTTGAGGGTAAAAGGTGGTAAGAGGGAGAGGAGTAGAAAAGATAACTATTGGATACTGGGTGATGAAATAATCTGTACAACACACCCCTGTAACATGAGTTTACTATGTAACCTTCACATGTATCCCCAAAACTAAAATAAAAGTAAAAAATAAATTAATTGCTAATTCTCTTTCAAGAAAAAATGGGCATCTTTATTCTCTAAATATTACGCAGACAGGTGTTGCTTTGGTATCCAAAAGAATGATTCTGTGGGCTGACTTGTTAAAAGCTTTCATCTCAGCCAGGCACGATGACTCACACCTGTAATCCCAGCATTTTGGGAGGCCAAGGCGGGTGGATCACCTGAAGTCAGGAGTTCAAGACCAGAATGGCCGACATGGTGAAACCCTATCCCTACTACAAATACAAAAAAATTAGCTGGGTGTGATGGCGGACACCTGTAACCCCAGCTGCTAGGGAAAATGAGGCAGGAGAATCCCTTGAACCTTGAAGGCTAGGTTGCAGTGAGCCAAGATCGTGCCGCTGCACTCCAACCTGAGCAACAACAGCAAAACTCCATATCAAGAAAGAAAAAAAAAGCTTTCATCTCAGCATATTTCACATTGCCACAGATTGCCAGAGTTTCATAAAATGAAAGCAGAGTAAGCATTATGACAGCCCTTGACACAGGACTCTGCAAACTCAGACCTGCACAGATGTGAGGAAAATGTGAATAGAGGTCTCAAATTTCACTAAATGCCCACTTTTTGGGTCATTTTTCTTTCTTTCCTTTTTAATAATGTTGTTGCAAAAAGCAAGAATTTCAAAAATTAGGCTGGGAGCGGTGGCTCAAGCCTGTAATCCCAGCATTTTGAGAGGCCGAGGCGGGTGGATCACGAGGTCAAGAGATCGAGACCATCCTGGTCAACATGGTGAAACCCCATCTCTAATAAAACTACAAAAAATTAGCTGGGCATAGTGGCACGTGCCTGTAATCCCAGCTACTCAGGAGGCTGAGGCAGGAGAATTGCCTGAACCAAGGAGGCGGAGGTTGCAGTGAGTCAAGATCGCGCCATTGCACTCCAGCCTGGGTAACAAGAGCAAAACTCCATCTCAAAAAAAAAAAGAATTTTAAAAATTAATGAACAATATGCCTACTATATGCCCACAATTTTTTAAAATTAATAAACAATATGAATTTAAAATGTTTCGTTGACTGACTTGACTAAGACTTACAAGATTTTATAATGTCTGGCATAGAATGAAAAAGAAGCAGGAAAATATGACCATAGTGAGGAGGAAAAACAACCAATAGAAACAGGACCAGAAATGACACAGGTGACACGATTAGTAGACAAGGATGATAAAAGTTATAATAACTATTTTCCATATTTTCAATAAAGTGAAAGCAAAATAAGTATTATTACAGCCCTAATTATTTTTACATTTTTTTAACAGAAAGTTTGCCATTTTCACCATTTTTTAATTGTGCAGTTCAGTGGCATTAATTACATCACATTAAGCAACTGTCATGACTATCTACTTCTAAAACATTTTTATCATCCCCAAAAATAAATCCTGTAACCCTCAAGCAGTAACTTTCCTCCATCCTTCTCTCCATCCCCCCAATTCCTGGTAACTTCTATTCTACTTTACGTTTCTATGAATTTGCCTATTCTAAATACTTCATAGAAGTGGGATCATACAATATTTGTCCTTCTTTGTCTTGCTTTTCTTTAGAATAATATTTTTAAGGTTCATCTACATTGTAGTATGCATTAAAGTGCCAATCCTTTATATGGCTGAGAACATTCCATTGTGTGCATATCAGCCAAGCTGTCATGTTTTGTTTATCAGTTCATTTGTTGATGAACACATGGGTTGTTTCCACTTTTTAGCTACTGTAAATGATGCTGCAGTGAACACTGGCATTCAAGTCTCTGTTTGAGTTCATGTTTTCCATTCTTTGGGGTACATACCTAAAAGTGAAATTGCTGGGTCATATGGTAATTATATATTGCAGCTTTTTGAGGAACTGCCAAGCTGTTTTCTACAGTGGCTGCATCATTTTACATTCCCATCAGTAATGTATGAGTGTTCCAACCTCTCCACATCCTTGCCAGCAGTTCTTATTTTTCATTCTCTTTTAAAAAGCATACCCATCCTACTAGGTATAAAATGATAATCTCATTACATTTTTAATTTGCATATCTCTAACAACTAATGATTTTCAGCATGTTTTCAAGTATCTCTTCTTTATATTTCTTCTTTACAGAAATATTTTTCAATTTATTTGCCAATTTTTGCATTAGGTTGTCATTTTTATTATTGAGTTATAGGAGTTCTTTACATACTCTGGATAGTAAACACTTACTAGCCATATGATTGGCTAATCTTTTCCCCATTTTGTAGCCTGACTTTTCACTTTCTTGATAATGCTCTTAAGTGTACCAAAGTTTTTAATTTTGATGAAGTCCAATTTATTTTCCTTTTTGTTGTACATGCTTCTAGTGTCATATCTAAGAAGTCACTGCCAAATTGAAGGTCATGAAGATTTACCTGTATATTTCCTTTTAAGAGTTTTACGGTATTCACATTTATATGTTGGTCACTGATTCATTTTGAGTTTATTTTTGTACATGGCGTGATGTAAGGGTCCAACTTTATTTTTTTTGCACATAAAAATCCAGTAGTCTCAATACCATCTGTTGAAGAGAAAATTCTTTCCCCATTGACGCGTCTTGGCACCCTTGTCAAAAATCAGTTGGGCGTACAAGTATGGGTTTCCTTCTGGGCTCTCCATTCTATTCCATTGGTCTATATGCCTAATATTAGCCAGACCACACCATTTTGATTAACTATAACTTTGCAGTGAGTTTTGAAGTTGGTAAGTATGAGTCCTCTAACTTTGTTCATTTTCAAGACTCTGTTGATTATTAGGGCCTCATGCAATTTCGTATGTATTTGAGGATATGCTTTTCTATTTTTGCAAAAAAGGTTGTTGAAATTATGATAGACATTGCATTGAACCTATAAATAGCTTAAGGTAATACTGATATCTTAATAATAATCAGTCTTTCTATTCATGAATATGGAATGTCTTTTGCCAATTTCTTTCAATCTAAAGGAAAGCAAGTTATGGGAAACAAGCCAAAGATCCAATGGTGGTTCTTGTCCCCTAAACTAACATAGCTTTCGCTTCTCTACTCTGTGAAGAAAATATGACTGACTAACCCTGGAATAATTTCTAGGGTCAATGAGATATATTAAAAGTATAAAATAATCTCAGAAAAGCAGCTAATTAAACATTAATTGCTATTGTTAACAACTTAAATAAGAAAAGTTGTCATGGTTTTATGATTACATAGCTCCAACACAAAACTAATCAAACACATTAACACACAATAAAACATATTCTTACACACACAAGCACGCACACAGTAAACCACTGTTAGTACTCTTTATTTACATACTTTTGATAGCATATCACAGAAGAAGGGGTGGTAACTATCTATAACTAAGATATTGAAATACCACAGAAATAATTATATTTTGTTCAATTTAACTCTTGTAAGAATTCAATGTCTCTTACATAACATCTCATCATAAACCTCATGAACTATCATAAGAGGTGCAGGAAGGAGGTGGTTGTACCTTAGAGTTGTCTCCCTTGGTTGATGGAGAGGTGGATGTGGTTTTATCATAGAGAACTGTTTCATGTGCTATAGTGGTCTCCAACCATTTATGTTAGTAGACATCTCTCAGTAAAAAAAAGTTTTAAGTATACATTCCTTAGATACATGTATTTAAAAATTATAGACAGCTATTCCCTGCTCTTTAAACTGAATACTAGTGAAGTTTAATTTTTTTAAGAAAAAAAAAGTACTAATATTTTCTTTTTGAATTCATTGAATCATCTTGTACTCTATAATGAACAGCACACTGCTTTAGAGTATGGTATTTTATTTTTTAAAAAAAAGAGGAAATAAAAGATTTTGCTCCTCAGTACATATCCTTTATTACTTCTTAATACCCAGACACTTCAAAGTGCTATCTCTTTTTGTCTTGGTCTACACTCTCACTTACTCTGTTAATGCTGCTTGATTGCTATAAACAATAAAAAGTTCTCTTTACCTGATCCACTTTACAAAAGAGTTTCGAAGTGTTGCTCTTGGGACAAAGATGAGTTAAGAATGCTGATATATGACATATAAGTAAAGAAGGCAAGAGAGTCCAAAGAGAGGTAGGTGGTTCTCAGAAGCAACAGCGGGGGAACCTGCCCTGTTGGTGCATAGGAGACTGGAGAACAATCAAAATCACATCTAAAGGGCCAATAGACATCTCAAGAGGCATGACGCATTCTTACAAGGTTTTCCTCCCAGAAACCCATCAGGAAATGTAATTCCTTCTCTTGCCAAGTAAGTGGCTGGTTAGTCACCAGTTCCAGCAGGAATAAAAATAACAGAAAGGGATTGTTACCAATTTCCTAAGTGAAGAAATCACAAATAGCTAACTGATGCCATTACCCAGTCTCAGCATTACCTGACTACTTCATTCACTTGTAACACAGATAATAAAAGTATTATCATTTCTCTTTGTAGTCTGTTGTTTCTAAGATAAAAAACACTTCCTCATACCTGATGATTTGTCAAAATACAGTTTTGGTCAAACGACATTTTAAAATGACACCATAACTACAATGCCAAATATGTATACAAAGAAAGTGTGAACCACAATCCTTGGGTAGACCAAAAAAATTCTAAAGATGAGGGAAAGTTAGGTAATTCAGACCTGAACCAATGGTGTGCATGTGGCCTAGTGGTTTCAGTTGATTTTTGTTTTTAAAACTTACATCACTGAGCCTTTCCCGAGAGCTGCTCCGGTGGAAGCCCTTGGATTCTCCACTGGCACTTTCACTGTCACTGTCCCTGCAGCTGTTCTGTCCTGGCTTGAGCTAAAGGCAAAAGAAAAGAGAGAGAAAAAAAAGTCAGTGGTCTGCTTCTTAACTTCTGTTTTTGAGCCTTGTTAAGAGTAAACAATTTAAGGTACTGATCTTCAATATTCTTCTCAGTTTCTGAATACTGCCAAGTAAGCTGTCATAGAAAAAAACACAGAGGGCAGAATAAGCAAAATATTCACCATGAAATGTCAATGTAGAGAAAAAGAGTGGGCAAGCCTTAAGTAAACACCTGAAAAGCCAAACCAAGGTCCATAAATTAGAAAGTAGTCTTTCCCTCAAATTTTTTCTTCTGTTCCACTGCAATTTTTTTCAATAAAAAGATCAAAAACATTGAATAAACTAAAGTGAGATTACATCAACTGTGATTTCTCATCTTATTTCTTCTGTCTTATCTCAAAAACAGAAAGAAAGTTTTATTCACCTAGGAGAAAATGATGACCTGCTGTGATTGAAGGGGTTATCCTTCAACCCCTGGGATGACCCCTAATGATCTTGTTTATTGAGATAACATCCTAGAGGTTTCTTCCTGGATAGTTAAAAGTACCAATGAAGACATACAGATTAAGTAAATTACATCAGCACTTACTCAACAAATAAAGTATTCAGTGCTACATCTGGGCTAGAACTAAGTGCTGAAGATACGGAACTATACCAAAGAGAAAAAAAAAGTCATCTCATTAAGCTTACATTCTAGTGGTTTCTACACATTTAACAAGCTCTGGTTTTCTGTTAAAAATGAACACACACATATAATTGAAAACCATCAGTCTATATAAGACTGTAAGTCATAAATATATGGAGCACTGGTTTTAATATCATCACCACCACATTTTCAGAAACATCAAGCAATGTAGTGCAGGTTACAAGTTACAGCCCCTTTACAATGCTCCCAATATAACAAGACAAAGGCAGTACAAGACAGGGAAATACAACAACACAATGAAATACATGTTCGATGAAACCAAAAAGTTGTCAGGGATGTTCAGAGAAGTGATTTCTGAAGCCCTGAATTTTAAAAGTAGATTAAACTCATATGGCTGAGAGGACAGTGAAAAATACGCTGGATAGGAGAAAGGCAGAAAGCAAAGACAGAAAAAGCAACAAGCTAGGAAATGATCAGCAGTCTCATTTGAAACAGTTCCTTTGGGGAGACAGTAACAAGAAACATTAGAGATGGGCGAATGAATGAAAACATGGAAAATCTCAAACTAATCTCAAGCTCCATTTTTCTAGACAGGAGAAATGGAAAGAACAGAACAGGCAGTAAGTAGCAAACTTTTGCTACTTCAAAGAATAGAACAAGCAGTAAGTAGCGGATTTTTGCCTGCAGGATTTCAAATGGCTATGGTGCGAAGGGGAAGATGAAACCAAGATGAATAGACAGTGAGGCTGACTCAACATTCCTTGGACCTATAAAGTACCTCTTTAAAGACAACAGTTCAGACCTCACTTTTGGTCATACCATTCAGAGTAAGCCTCCCCCAAGTCGCCAAACAAGGCATTCTTTTTTGCTATCAACCTTTCCAGAAATCCAGTTTTATCACTTTCTTCTAAAATCCCTTTCTCCAGGAAGTCCTCTATAAAGAAGCCCAGAAAATTGATGCTAATTTTACTTTGTATCCTCCTAAGCTCTTAAGTACTTAGTTTTCTCCTCAGTTAATGCTAAACCTCCTCATTCCAAGTTAATTCAGATGCAAGTTGTATGAGCCTTTTGTTATTACTATGGAATAAAAGTTGAGAATATTGTCATTCTCTTCAGGTTTTCACTTTTATACTGATAAAGGAGAGATTTAATCTAAAATGAACATCACCTTGTCTCCATTTCCTGAACTTCTCCTATCCATTCATATTCTGCATTTTTTCACATCACATTCCCTCTGTCTGGAATGCTCACCCTTTCCTTCTCTGTGCTTCTGATGTCAAGATGTTTTTTTAAAACTCAGATCTTATCTCCTCTGCTATGGTCTTTGAAGAGCTCTTTCCTTCTGTATTTTTTTTAATATATCTTCAAATTTTAGCTAGCATGTCATTCTTCACTAAATGCCTTTGATAATTATGACATTTTTCAAGCTCAAAAAGGCCCATTGTTATAGTTATACTGAAAATAAAATTTGCATGTGGCATGGGCCCTCTAATTCATAAGCAATATCAAACTCTACCCCGACGGATTCTGAGTTAAGTAAGAACAGATAGAACTACCTCCAAAGATATGGATGAAAAAACAAAGAGAGCAAAGGATGTGCTCAGAATTAGGCAAGGTATCCAAGACTACAACCCACGTCACTACGACCCTTTGCTCCCTAATTCTCAGTATAGTTAGATGTTTACATTTGACATGAAAGTAATGATTCCACAGCATATTAGTATTCTCCATATAATATGTTTCAATTTATTTGTGGTACCTGATTATAGTACAGCCACAAAGAAAATAATCTTGTTAGGTGATATTTACCAACATGTTTATGGCTGGGCACGGTGGTTCATGCTTATAATCCCAGCACTTTGGGAGGCTGAGGCAGGGGATCACTGGAGCCCAGGAGTTTGTGACCAGCCCAGAAAACATAGCAAGAACCCATATCTATTTTAAAAAATAATAATAATAACTCAGTTCCCAACTTAGATGCAAGATGATACACATTCAGCTGGGAACTAAGAATATAAAGAGCGTCAAGGCTTTTCCTAATATCCAACAGGCTTAACAAAACCTGGGCATTGCACCTGGGCCTTTTCCATGCTTCTTCATGAAAGGAAAATGAGGACTTTACCAAGGCACAAAAACAGATTCAGTGGCCCTGACATAAATTATCTGACTAAATGTTTATCTAGGCTAAGGGCAAAACCCAAGAAGGACTGAGAGGAAGCAGCCTGCTAGTCTTCCCAGTGTCCTGCCAGCAAAAAGCACTTCAGTGAATTCTCTTCAGAGAGCCTTACATAAAATCCACCCCTACAACACCCCTTTCTCCTCTAAAGCCAGGCTCAAGTTTAAAGGAAACTTAGGATTTTAAGCTGTCAGACAGCTCAATATTTCAAAGAAATGAACTGACTACCGTAAGTACTAAAGCTAAACCACAAGATTTCAGGCAAAGAAGTGTTCACTCCTAATCCCATGAATATATTTTCAAACTAGCATTTTAGCCACATCCAATGGATCATTTGGGGGAGCATAACTAACTCAGAAGTTGTAATACTTGACCTGAAATTCCCAGCTATTACCTACAACCAAGAGACATCACAAAGGCCAGGTGCTGGCTTAAACATTTAAAGAGCTAAGAAAAATTGATCTCCCTGCATTGATTTTGTATGAGCATCCGTGGCAGCTATTACAAGAAAGCTTTTCTTATAACCAATGCAATATGATTTCTTACCATCAGCCTTTAGATAGTAAAGGACCTTGTTTATTTAAAGATTACTAAAACCCAGTCTCTAATGTAAGAAGTTTTTCCCCATCAGAATATTACATTTTAAATAGTTTGGGCACCAGAATGAGAACAAAACAAATAAAATGAAAGCAAGCTGGTATCTGGCATGAGCGGCAGTAATTCTATCAAGGAGATTAACATCTTTTATGAAATATAAGAAGCCAGTTTGTTTTTCATTAGATTTCATTGTCAACAATATATGCTCCAAATTCTGAAGTTGTGATCTCATTATAGTGTTAACTGTTATTAATGGCTAATTAGGAAAATAACGATCCACAGTTATATCACCGCTAATGAACATGTAACAAAGTCCCCTCACCCTAGACTGGATGAAGGTATAGCAATTCTGTGCACATCTGCTCAGCATTTGTAAGCTGGGCTGTGCCATTTTTTTCAGCTTGGATATGGAGAGTTTCAAAAAGATACTAGATGCCCAGTAGGTGTCATTAATTAATCAAACAAAATTTACAGGGTAAATGTAAAGAATACATCTATGCCTGGAATTTGAGAAGATGATGTAAATTACAAAGACAATGTAGAAGAGTGTCCAAAAGGAATCTTCTTCCACACATTTGGTTCCTCAAAGCAACAGATATCCTTTTTCAGACTGCTGCATTTTCCTGTAGGAATGTAAATGAACTCTACACAATATTTCGGGAATGTCTTAGTAAGCTCAAAACATTCCCTTGTTCAGTGAAAATTTTAATATACCCATAGACTTCACTATTATCAAAGCAGCCAAGTATTTAATATTGAAAATATTGTTTTCCTTTTTCAAGACAAAATTGCCCCTAAATTGGGAAAGTTTCATAGCTTGGATAAAATTTATACTATTTTATTCCTTAAGTTTTAAAAGGTATTTCAGATGAGAGGCACATAAAATAACTGAAAAACATAATGAAAAAAGCTGAGGAATCCAAATAAGCTAATACAAAATAACTACTATAAGTAAAATTATAAAGTTGAATATAAAAACTATTTTTTAAAAAACAAAACTATATTGTACTTTTGAATGTACAGTACCAAGTTGTGAATAAAAGCTAAAAATTGACATATTTTGGACACAAGGGCAGGGCAAGGAATTTTTCTGGGATAACAGAATCAAAGGTTCTCTTGTTATTGTTATTTTGTTCTATTGTTATCTACAATGGTTAAAGAAAGTGTTTCAAGTAACTATTTGATAATCTTGATGCTAACCATTAGTAAAATTTAAATATTAAAATTACTTTTGGGGCGGGCTCATGCCTATAATCCCAGCACTCTGGGAGGGCAAGATGAGCGGATCACAAGGTCAAGAGATCAAGACCATCCTGGCCAACATGGTGAAACCCCGTCCCTACTAAAAATACAAAAATTAGCTGGGTGTGGTGGCACGTGCCTGTAGTCTCAGCTACTTGGGAACTGAGGCAGGAGAACAGCTTGAACCCAGGAGGTGGAGGTTGCAGTGAGCCAAGATTATGCCACCGCACTCCAGCATGGCACCATAGTGAGACTCCATTTCAAAAATAAACAAAAACCACTTGCCTTCCAAATCATTATCAAATATAAAAAGATTCAAATCATAATATAACTATA